AGCTGGCTCCCCCACACCATGAGGTTAGCTTCCCAGCAGAGGTTGGGATTGAGGTCTCTGCCTTTCTCGTGGACCAAGCAGAAGTTGTGAAAGGTGATTCCTTTTGCCCATTGTCCCTGTTTTCCCAGCGTCCTGCTGCTGGGCAGCTGCTTTGCCTTACTCCCCATATGTCCCTTGCTCCTGCTGTGTGCCTCCAACCCAACTAATGTCTCAGGGCCTCAGGAACTGGGCAGAGTCTGCTGAGAGTTGTGGAGGTGGGCGTTGAGATGGTTTGAATCTGTGTTCCTGCCTCAGTCTCATGGCAAATTGTAATCCCCAAAGTTGAAGGTGGGGCATGGTGGGAGGTGACTAGATCATGGAGGCAGATCCTTCCTGAATGGTTTAGCACCTCCCCCTTTTCTCTTTCTCCTGCTCCAGCCATGTGAAGTGCTGGCTTCCCCTTCTGCCATGATTGTAAGTTTCCTGAGGCCTCCCCAGAAGCATATGCTGCCATGCTTCGTGTACAACCTATGGAACTGTGAGCCAATTGAAACTTTTATGAATTGCCCAGTCTTAGGTATTTATAGCAATGTGAGAACAGACTAACACAGGTGTCCAGTCTTCATACTGTCATGCTACTTGGTAGCTCTTCTTTTTCTTTGTGTCTTACAGGCCTGGCTTTCTCAGGTACTGTAGTTTTGTGGCATCTTGATTTGCTCTCTTAGGTCCACTGTGGCTGTTGATAGGCACTGTGTGGTGATGCCTGTGATTATAAGCTCGTGGACTGCTTCCTTCCCGGTAATTGTCATGTCTATTTTATGGTATTCCCAGTTGTAGGGGGAGCAGGAAGCATGGCCTAGACAACTGTACCCCTGTCCTGGCTTGGATTAGCCGTGGTTGGTCCTACAAGAGTTTGAGAGAGAAAGAGATAAACATGGCATGTCACACAAACCTGAGGGGTGCCAGGCGGAGCCCAGTCTCCTGCTGTCCTGGGGTCCTGGCCAAGGCATGGGTGAGCCGAGTTGTTCTGGCCAGAGGATCTGCAGGCAGAGGCTTCTGAGGGGGGTTTGGCTTACAGGTCCCCTGCAACAAAGATAGCGTTAACTTTCCAGGAGCCAGCAGAAGCCCCTGATAAGCAGGGCCTGCCACTTGGCACAGGCCCTGATTCCTGAATATCATCCTCTCACCATACAAGGTGGGTGGAGGCTGAGCTCTGTTAACCTTCTTGCCAAAATTTTCTCTAATATTTAAGACTTATCCATGGATCACAGTTATAAACACTCGACTGTGGGGCTTCTGGGCTGGCCCTGGGCCCTGGGCCCTGGGCCCTGGGGTAGAGTTGATGTTGGGGTTTCTCTGCCAATATCACCCTGAGAACACACACTTTCCTGTGCTTTCTGTTCACCCTAAAATGAGAAGTTGGTGAAAATCTTTTCAACATCACATTCATTTCTTCAGTTTTGCCAACATCACATAGCAGGACTCGTTCATCTGTGGGTGGATTAGATGGTGAGGATGGTCGTGCTCAGTCGGCCACGTGCAGGCGCTGTTCCACATGTTGCTCCAGATGGCTCCGTGAAATGCACCGAAGTTCCTCCACTAAATACTTTCTCATAAGCTCAAAGAATTGATGCAGTGGTCTGAGGGACAAGTCAAGTTTTGTAAACACACTAAGGGGCAGGGCTGTGTTGACCAGAAGCCAGTGAGGGAGTTGGCCAGGGAAGGTGGGGTTATTCCACACTGGGTTTTAGCCAAAAATGATGCTTTGGGACTTGTGCAAGTCACTTGACCTCTTTCTCTGGAAAATGTGGGGAAAAAGACCTATCTCAGCATTGTTATGAGGATTAAAGAAAATAATGCATAGACAGTTCCCAGCACACACTTAATAGTTATTAATATCAGCATTCCTTCATGCCACAATCTAAAAATGTTTAATAGAAATAGAAAAACGGCAGGGCGAGGTGGCTCATGCCTGTAATTCCAGCACTTTGGGAGGCCAAGGTGGGCGGATCACCTGAGGTCAGGAGTTCGAGACCAGGCTGGCCAACATGGTGAAACCGCATCTCCACTAAAAATACCAAAAAATTAGCCTGGCATGGTGGCACGTGCCTGTAATCCCAGCTACTCGGGAGGCTGAGGCAGGAGAATCACTTGAACCCAGGAGGCGGAGGTTGCAGTAAGCTGAGATCGTGCCACTGCACTCCAGCCTGGGTGATAGAGCAAGACTCTGTCTCAAAAAAAAAGTGTAAGAACACATGCCGCTTTTTTTTGTGGGGCCCCTCCTGTGGATACACATGAGAGGGGGGTTCATTGGAGCTGTGTCCAGAAGTCAGTGTTGGACACATCTCTGCTCTGGGCCCCAGGTGAATGTGGGTGCCATGTCTTGTCCTTGAAGCCTGGAAATTCATCTTCATGAATGCATAGAACGTCTGTCAGAAATGGTGCTAGAACCTCCAGGAGACAGAACACCCCTAATAATGAAATGCTCCAATTCACCATCATAGGACCCAGTATTCCTTATATCTAGCAACACTCAACAATGATTTCAAACACTTGAGTTGAATTTCTCTCACAGTGCCAATCACATGAAATGACATTCAGCAGTTGGGGCTCAGCTGAAAGAATGCAACAATATAATCACCATTTAACGTATCTTTGTAAAGCAAAGGAAGCTACCACAGAAGTCTGTAGACCACAGGTGTGTGGAAGATAAGCTGAGTTGGAACAATGGACACACTGGGCTAGGAAAAAGTCCCTGAACAAGGGACAGACTTAGAAGTGACATTTCTACATTAGTTTTCATTAAAGGAAACATCAAATAGAAAAAATCCCCCAGCTAGGAATAAAGGCCGTATAATGTGCCCAACAGCATGGTTTGTTTATATATTCAACCAGCTCCACATACACACACAGCGTCCTCACTGGTGTAGAGGGGATGGTCATAGTCCCTTCCTCCCAGCTGGATGTGAAGGTTAAATGAGATATTGAGGCTCCTAGCACAGGGCCTGGCATGCAGTAACCCATGAGTGTTAGCTGCTGCTGGATTACAGTTATTAATGGAGTGAATTTACCACCAAAAAGCACTGTAACCCTACTAACAAACTTTGGATAATTAAGGTAACAAATCAAGCTCCCTTTCCTATAGCTAACAGAAAACCATGAGCAAGACATTAGTGTGTCATGTAAAAATGGATGTATGCACTCATCAAATTGAAATTAAGCAATACTAGTTTTGCTGCTAAGTATGACTAAGCTGTCTTGACAATAAAGATAACATCAGGTTTTTATTGCAATGCTGAAGGAAAAAGTGAGGTATGTATCACAATATATTTGAATTTATCATGGAAACATAGGAGGTAATTAGGTTAGCCGTTCATTCTAGTTTGCCTGGGACATTCGCAATTTGTTTATCGTCCTGTTTAATTATTAATCACACTCAGGCACGTCTCCTACGTTAGAAGATATATGGTCACCATAGTGAAGAAAACCCAAATGGCTGAGATGCTGATTGAAGGGTCTGACCTCCAACCTGGGGATCAGTGCAGGCACCATCTGCTTCCTCTAGCCATGGCCAGGACATGGTTTGGATGGAAGCATGAGACAGGTTGCAAGCAAAGATGTTGCCTAGGTAAGATGCTGGCTTCCTGCCAGGGCTTAACTGGGACAGAATGACCATGGAACAGTGGGGTTAGTCCAAGAAGATGTGCCTTCACGTCTTAGACATTAGGCATGGAGGTGTGGAACCTATGATGCAAGAAGCACCAGCTGCACATTTTGACCTTGGAGGAAGGGGTGAAATTGCCATGCTCTCTTTTAGGCATTGCTTTTCATTCTGCCTTTGCAAAACCTAAACCTGAACCTGTCCCAGAGAAGTTCAGTGTGATCACCAAGCATCATCTGAAGGGAGCTGAGAAATGACTCTAGGCAGATCACTCACACATGATAAACATTTCTTTAAATCTATTTTCATTTTAAACAAGGAAATGAATTCAAACCTCATTCTTATGCCCTCTTAACTTCTTCCAGGTATGCTATTAAATAGGGCTGTTCCATTCTTCTATTTTCTGCTCATGTTCTGGTAATAGCCACATATTTCAAATTTTTTAGAGGTTTCAAAACAATTTTAAATCCAAATATAACCACTTTGCCTTGACCAGCATCATGAAGAAGTCTCAGCTGTTATCAACTTCACATGGTAAACGAGAGTAAACATGCCCTGCTTATCCAGAGAAATCTCTGCAGGAAGACTGGAATTCATCACAGGAAAATGCCAGAGATGCCCCAGAGATCCCTGGTGAGCTCATGCAGGGCTGGGGCGGCATCAACATATTTCACTGTGCAAATTCGGTCTACCTCTAGCTAAAAACAGTTGTGAGAATTATGGCTATAGATCAGAATATAAATGTTGCAAACCCCAATGTAGGTATCATGGAATTTGCCAAAGTTGACAGGCAGGCCTTCCATTTCCAGTAACATGGCAGGCTCTGTTGTTGTGCTGTACCCCTTCTCTGATAACCACCAAGAGTTACAAGGCAGTAAATGTTTAAATCTAAGTGAAAGCAGCAGCTTGGAATAGTAACTGAAGATGGAGGCATCTGGCAAGTTAGGGAAACCTAAACGTGGGTTTTGATACCCTTTCACAGTGAGGAATACAGAAATCCAACTGAGGTCAAGACGTGGGCAGAAACCAAATGTCCAAGTTTGAGAGAGAATTCTCTTCCCGACTCCTCTCCATTCAAGTTGGGCTCTACAGACGAGACCTCAGGTTAAGAATCTTCTAGAAGTAAATGCATACTATAATCTATCCCCAGGTTACTATAAGGAGCATTCTTCTGGTGCTTGACAGACCATAAACCTGTCCCACAAATTTTCCTTGAGGACTTGAAGCTGAAATCACATCACCTGAGTAGTTCAGTAAGCTCCAAGCCATTTGAAGTGGTCTCAAACTGGCACTGCCCCCAGGCACCTGGCAGAGGCAAAATAACCCTTTATGGAAGAACTATAATTTAAAAAATGAACTCATGGGAAAAAAGGCATACAAGGAAACAAGGCACCAGGAGTGAGAAGTGATAGAAACTTCAGCAGTAACATCCAAAGACTTCATATTTTGGGATTACTGGAAAAAGTTTTCTTACTATGTTTCAAGAAATGCAAGACAAGCTAGCATAGTTGAATTAGAACCAAAGAGAACTTCTAGAAGCAAAAAAAAGTACAACATAGATGAGTGCAAATTGCATGAAGGTAAGTACAGTTTGATACCATTATGTAAAGTTTAAAACACAAAACACTATACTCATGGATACATATTTATACAAAAATATTCAAAATATTCTATTAAATCAGCAAACTTACAACAGTGATTGTATCTGGAGGGAGGCTAATGTAGTGACTTTAATGTTTTACTTTTTTAAAAAAGTGATAGAGTATGCATATTTCTGAAATTTAAATAGGCATATACATCTAGAAAGATGTGAAACAATGGTTATTTCTATGTAGAATATATGTAGAATAAATGTGAGTAAATTTTAGTTTTTTACTTTTCTATATTTTAAAAACAAAGTTCAATCTTTGGGCCAAGGAGGAAAACAGAAGAGAACATGTAGACTATTTAAAAAATATAAAATACACTACAACTTGGAACCAGTGAGCAAGGTAAGGCAATGTTTAAAGGAAAGTTCCTAATATTTTCAAGTAACTATCACAAAGTCCCAAAAGGCAAGTACTATTATTTCACATTTGTAGAGGGGAGATTAAAGTCATGTTTCCAAGATCTAATAGTAGCAAGAAGAAGATCGTATAAGACCTTGAGCTGGTTGAAGGTAGAGGAGAACAAGAAACCAGACAAATCTAATAAAACATAGGCCAATCAAGGACAAAATAAATGGTATTAAGGATTACTAGGTAGTCATCTAGAAAAAAAATTTGATTAAGTGGGATTGATTAGTGAAACAAATAGACACATGGAGAACAAAAAACAGGGTGAGACGATGGCCCACCTGGGAGTGACACGCAGCCAAGGGAACCCCCACCATGGGAAGTGGTACAAGAAAAACAGGCTACTGGGGTCTGGAGCAGACCCCCAG